AAAATTTTTTTTTTTTTTTTTTTTTTTTTTTTTTTTTTTTTATGTAACGGTCTTTGTAATGCCATTATATGAAGGTTTCCCAATTTGGGATTCAAGAGGAAACTACAGGAGGTTCATGAGTTAATGGATGGCTAATTTTTATTTTAGTAATTCAATCATGAAAACTGTTTTTATTTATTTTATTTTCTTGTATTTTATTTTTATTTGTTTATTTATTTAATTTAATTATTATTATTATTATTATTATTATTTTTAATTTTATCTAATTTAATTTAATTTTATCTCATTTAATTTTATTTTATTTTATTTTATTTAATTTCATTTAATTTTATTATTATTATTTTTTTATTTTATTTTTTTTGTCGTTGTCATGCCATTACATCAGGGTTTTTCCCAAACTGGGGTTTGTGAGGGAATTGCAGAGGGTTCTTAAGTTGAAGGACAGCTATTAAATCATAAAAATTAAAACAAATACCTTTTTTGTTTTTTTAACTGACATCAGAGAACTGTGAACATGCGTATGTGTTGTGAAATTATTGAAGTGTTAACTTGACATTTCAAGGCAACTTCAAGTAAATATTTGACCTCAAAAGGAATCAGCTTTGTGAATGTGCATTACAGCACGGCTTTGTGCTTCATTATTCTTCATCGCTCACACAGTTTTCTTCATGAATGTGGTTATTCGCAGCAGTTGTTGATGGCATTGTTCTGTGTTTGTCTCTCAGGATTCGTCAGCTTTGATAACCCCTCCAGCGCTCAGGCAGCCATTCAGGCCATGAACGGCTTTCAGATCGGCATGAAGAGGCTCAAAGTTCAGCTGAAGCGGCCCAAGGACGCCAACCGGCCGTACTGACACTGATCGAGCGCTGCCGCCTTCACTCACAGGTCAGAGAGCGTGTCTGTTTCTGTCTCTCCTGTCTTCAGTTCAGTTCTGTGTGAAAGCTTCAGAGAATCCTGTGCATGACTCTCTGTCAGCAGTTAACTGTGTGCTTTAAAAGCTTTTAACCCATTTAATCCCACCACTCACAATAGTGACCGTAAAGAAGGTTCTCATTTATAAACTTTTGAAAACCTTACTGACTGATGTTTTAGTGCACTTCCTGCAAATATGGAAAAAAAATAAAGGGTCTCAATGAAATATGTGCAGTTTCACACGTTTAGTGCAAATTGTTACATGATCAAAGCTGCATTAAAGCATAAAGTATGTTAACATAAAGATTTTTGGTCCACATTATCTTTAAGGTGTCTAGTATTAATATAAGAATATGTCACATATATTCAGTTTTGTTGAGTGTGGTCATAGAATGAGTAAAAATTGTGATAAAGGTATACAATATAAATCCAATTGCAGTTGTTAGTGTAAAAATGCACTAAAATGTTGCAATGACAAAATATTGCATTAAATTACAATTTCAAATGTAACAAAGTTACCATATTGATGTTGTAGCAGCACTAATTTAAAAATGTTATGATGTATGTTACAAGAAAGTAACAATTTTGAAATACGTTGATGGTTGTATTTTTTGTCTTTTATCAGTGCTGTATAAGGGTTTTTTTATGCATAACAGTAACCCTAGAATGTGAGCAAACAGTTTAAAATAGCTGTTTATGACTGCAGAAATATGTTAATTCAGTACACACATTATCCCACCGCTCACAATTGTGACTGACCATAAAACAAAATAATTTACACACTTTTCCAAAAAAAATAAAAAATTCAAAAAATTATTATTGATTATTTAAAAGGGTTACTAATGACACATAATTTGCATATTGTCATGTCTGGGACAAATTTGGGTTTAAACGGGTTAAAACTAAAGATTGCATTAACTTTCATGAATTGATGATGAATTGCTAAAGTAAAGTGAACTTTAGCTGAAGAGAGATATGAATAGTTCTTGATTTTCTCACATTCATGTCATTACAGACTCGTATGACTTCTTTCTGAACAATATTCATACTGCTCTTTTACATCCACATCTCTCAAGCTCTAAAAGGACATAAAAGCATTAAAAAAGTAGTTCATAAGACTCTATTCCAATTATGTGATGTTCTTTCTCTGAATTTTGTCTTATTTTTCGGTACTAATGTCTGAACATTCTTAAACTGAGATACAGAATGCTATATTAAGTCTTAAAATGTATCAACATTAGGTGTGTTTATGCTTAAAACAATAATAATAATATAAAAATCTCTGGCTATGAGGTCAGAAAAATGTTGTCCATTTGAAAGAAGTAAATAAATATATTTTATCTTATCACTTAACTTGATTGTGAAGAATTTACCAGAAAACAAAACTTCCTATCTTACGTCATTTTGCATGTCAAGTAAATGTATCTTGATGTGTTGTATTTATGCTTAGATATTTGTACTGGAAATAATAATAATAAAAAATATTGAGAAAGAACACTTTTTTTCAGTGCTGAAGTCTGAAAACTGAAAACTGACCCAATTTTTCCTCCAATATTTTATTTTATTTTACTTTGCTTTACTTTACTTTTCCCTATTTATTTTATTTTATTTTTCCATGATTGTTTTACCATTAATTTAATTTAATTTAGTTTAATTTCATTTTTCGATGATTGTTTTACCATTCATTTAATTTAATTTAATTTTAATTTAATTTAATTTAATTTTATTTTATTTTATTTTATTTTATTATTTTATTTTATTTTATTTTATTTTATTTTTCCATGATTGTTTTACCATTTATTTTATTTTATTATTCTTTTCCCCATTAATCTTTTTTTATTTATTTTTTATTGTTCCATTTTTCTTAATATTTTTTCATTATTTTTTCAATTTTTATTTTATTATTTCCTTTTTTTAATATAGTCTTTGTCATGCCATTATATCAGTCTTTTCCCCAAATGGACTCAAATGTTCCCCTCCAGTGCATCTCTCACATCTCATTTATGCTCGTTTTACTCAAACTTTGCTGTGTTGCATTCAGGCGTTGCATGCATAAAACATCTCTTTTTGTGCTCCTTTGAAGATGTGAAGTCATCCGGGTTTGGAGTGACATGAGGGTGAATGTGACGCACAAGAACTCATGTCTTTCTCGCTGTGTGTTTGTCTTAAACTCATGAAGTCCTACAGTACTAATGTGCACGTTTGTCTTAATGTTTTGTATGTCTGTCCTGATTTATCCGCTGAATCTAAATTCCTAAAGCCATCTTCCTGTGAAGCTGACGAGACGAATGGCGTGATTCTTGTGTTTCTGTCAGGGCTCAGGTAGCTCAGGACGGGTATGTTTGTCTGCATCAGGGACGCACTCGTGTAAGTCCAAACCCTGCTTGTTTCAGTGGATCTGGTCTCTTTGGGTAACCGTAGCCGTGTGATTTTGAAGCCTTGTGAACTTTAACCCCTTTATTGCTGTCGTACCGTGAGTTGTTGTGCTCTTCCTCGTTGAATGTGGTGGATATTTCTCTCTCTTTCTCTCTGTTTGTTCTGGTGTGTATTGTTTGATCGTGTTGCTTCAGTCAGTGTTGCACCGTCTCTAACGGTGAAAGAAAGTATTGTTTATGAATCGAGCGAAGACTTTTGGCTTTTGTCATATGGCTTCATCAGGAGATCTTCTCTGAAATTCATTGTAAAAACTAGTGTTTTTGAGTTGTTTTGAATTAGTTTTTTGCCATATGAAATATCTACACATTCTTAAATCAAGCAAAATAAGTCATTTTCCAATAAAACATTCTCTAAATTATGCGAGTTTATACTTATTTTTCATTATTCTATTTCTTTTTTTTCATCTGTATTTAACTTTATTTTTTCATTATTTTTGTCCATTATTATTTTTCCTTTTTTTTTCTATTTAATTTAGTTTTATTATTTTTGTAATTTTTTCCCATTTATTTTCAATTTATTTGTTTTTTAGTTATTTAATTTTTATTGACCAATTTTTCATTTGAAAAATAATTGACAGATTTTTTTTTCTTCTTATTTTAAACTTAAACTCACTTAATTTTGATGCATTTTTGATGCTTACAAAAATGCAAAATGTACAAATAACAAAAATACGAAGTAAGAAAATGTTTTGCAGTGCAGTTTTGCTTGTAGATTCATCCCTGTTTATTACTAATGTTTACTAAGTCAGTGCAATTCAACATTTTTAAAAAAAAAGGTGCATTAAATCTGATTGCTCTAGCTGTAGTTTTTAAAGCAGTTAGTGATAATGCATGTACAGTATATTAGTTATTGCTGCTGGTTTGAACTGTAAATCTCAGTGTTTGCAATGCATTGGATGATTGAATTTCTGGGAGCTTTATGTTGAAGATGCTTTAATCAGCTCAGACACACAGTCTTTAAATATTGTATTATAGCAGTTCATAAAACATATGACATGAGTGACAATAATGAGCATACTCACAGTCTTTTAGCTTATTCTTATCGCCTAAAATGTGTGTATCTTAGCTGCTGGAAATGTGAATATGTTCTGTGCTTGACTCCTAACCAGCCATGACTATCTGCTGAGAGACTCCAGGTTTAGTTGATCACTTTATCTGTATATTAAACACCAGACCGCTTCTGATCAGCTGTGATTGTGTTGCATTGGAAACCTTTCTTTAACATCATGCTGCTGCTTCTGTTGCTTCTGTCTTGTAGTTGCTGGTTTCTTTTTGCATACTATATTATCACAGCAAGATGTATGTTAGAAGATGCTGTCAGAGATCTCAGTAAGGATGGTGCTGGTTGTTGATGGTCTTGTTTGTCTGCTGTAGTTCAGTTTCACACAGAAGGCTCACATTATTTTAAATAAGCTCGCTGGACACGTTTACAAGCCACTTCACGTCCATCTAGACCGCAAGCTTTGGCTTTTTGAGATGTTCAACTCTCAGAGCTGTTAGATGAATGTCATGAAACCTGTCCGGCTAACATATACTGTATATCCCACCCCAAAATCAAAAGAAACATATTAAAATATATTAAAAGCCTATTTTAGGATCATTCAAATGTTCTGTATTGATTTGCAATTTTTTCATGACAATTAGAAACACATTTCCTCCCAAAGAAAAAATCTTTTTTTTATTACTGTAATGCAAATAAATATAATATAAATCGACAAAATGTTAGTTAAATGTCTGACCCCTAAACTGAAAGAAAGTTACATATATTTCAAGTTATATATTAAATATATAAATACTGTATACAGCACCATTACGTTTTTCTACATTATTTTCATGACAATTAAGGACATTTCCTTTCAAATTCATGTGTAAATAAAATCTCAATTTGTATTACTGTTTTGCAAAATAATCAATAAAATATTATTTAAATAGTCAAATTAAAAACAACGCGTTGTATTTATGTATTTTATAGTGTATGTTATTTATATGTACGTGGTAGTATTTGTTGTACTGCTTCTGCAATTTTTACCCAGCCATGAGAATAATCAGAATTACACGCATTAACTCTAAAAACATCACATTTATGGGAAAAATGTGTTTAATTGTCATGAAAACTGAACGTAATGTCACATGATGCAAAAAAGTTCTCGGCATTGTTTTTCATTATTTTCATGACAATTTAGGTAATTTCCTCCTGTATTCATCAGATCTTTTTTTTTGTTTATTGCTGTAATGCAAAAAAAAGAAAAAAAGTACAATAAAATAAATAAATGAACAAACAAACAAAACATTAAATGGTAAAATATTTAAAAACTGTATTGCATGGTATTTATGCATTTCATAAGTATTTATATGTACATTTTAGTATTTGTTGTACTGCTTGTATGCTGTTTTTTAATGCATTTTACCATAAAATCCTGTAATGCTTTAAAAGTAATGCAGATGGAAAGTAATGGAAAGTAAAAAATATGAATGAGCATAAAAATAGACTTGATTTTCTTAATGCATAATATAATTTCTTGCATTTGTCCTTTGATTTTTGGGCTGGAATACAAGCTACGAATGTTTTCACGGTCACACGTCTGTAGACTAAATGATGAAGTGGATCTGTGTTTAGAGCTGCTCCGATCTCCAGCGCTGTCTTCAACTTCTTCTCTCTTTCTCTCTGTCAGGATGAAGAACTACGACCCCTTGTTTCCACAAGTGCAGTATCGAAAGACTTTTGCTCTGCTACATATGACGGGAGGCGAGCGAAAATCACGGACAGCTGGAAAAACTGGAGGATTTTTTTCTGCCAACTTTCTTCTTTTTTCGCTTCGGCATTTGCAGGATGCTTTTTTTGCATTTTGCAGAGACCGACTTTTTTGCTGCTGTTTTTTTTAGACGAGATTGAGAAGAAAAAAAAACCTTTATGAACACATTATGCTCAAAGCATGCATAAACACACACACACACACACACATGTCTGCTGAGACCTTCAGAATATTCTCGCCTTTACATGCACACAAAACTCTGTTGAAATCCTCATGTAAATGTATTGATCTGTCCACACACACACACACACACACACACGCACACGCACACACACACTCACTCACACACACACACACACACACACACACACACACACACACACACACACACTCACACACACTCACACTCACACACACTCACAC